CTATCCTAACTTTTGCAAACATCTAAGAGTTGCTGCTTTTCATATGGCACTGCCACATGTTTCAGAGAACTTTAATGTATTACAGTATAAATAAAAAATAACTTACTCTCTGTAACTTTGATTTGAGGTAAATAAATGATCTCCCTCCTCTCTTTCTCAGCAGAGACTGGATGAAAAGATCAGTGAAAGCCCCCTTTATATCATTGAACAACACAGTCCTTCATAAAGAAGGACAATTCTGTGCATGTAAACCACTTGTTTTGAAACACAATCATGGTAAAATAGAGCTGGAAGGGAACTCAAGAGGTCATGTAGTACAATCCCCACCCCACTCAGGGCAGGATTGTCTCTGTCTAAACCTTCCCAGACTTATCCCCACTCCTTATTCTATAGGCATTGTGTCTAAATAAAAGCGGCTGGATTGGGCATGCATCGTGCTACAGGATAATGATTTATAGATGAAACTACCCAGCCTCATGCACTGTATCAAAATAAAACATGCAAAATTCATGCAAAACATTTTAACTGTAAATGTCCCTTTTTATTGATAATTCAGGTCAAATTTTTATATAGTTGTATTTTTCTCTTTTTCAGCTTATTGATTTTCCTGAATAAACCAGAAAATATTGCCTCAAAAATAATGTTTGATATAGAGTATGCGTATTTGAATTACTTGAATTACTTTTTAATCTCTACAGTATCCACAGCTGTTTACAGGGATTCTCTCCCCGTGGAAAGGATTATTACTGTATGGACCTCCAGGTAGGTACAGCTATAGAATATATGATTAGTTGTACATCGCTACTTTTGTTTTTAGCCAAACAGAAGAATCGTTTGCAGAGGATGGTAAGGTGTTTTTAGAGGTTTATGCTAATTTCATCTGATTTTTTGTGGAGGTGTAAATTGAAGTGAGAGGATATAATACTGGTAGACCACTCCTTCAGTCTGTTTCTCAGTGCACAGAGTTCCCCACTTATGTGCACAGCCTGAGAATATTGCTGCGCCTAAATCCCGTAGCCAACCTTCCTGACCATGGGTGATCAGAGCAGCGATGTGCTTCAAATATCATCACGGCTGTGGCTTCAGTTGTCTGTAGTTGCCGGCAGTGCATATTTGATGCATCTTTTAATGTCAGTCCCAGCCAACCTGGCTCAGATGGTCCCTGCCTGGGAACTGTGGTATTTACTTGCCACAAAGGTCTGCTGTTGTGCTTTGTTCATTTAAAAAAAAAAATTCAGAAAGAAGGCAAATGAAGAATACACCCATCAGTGGTGTTGTGCCTTGAGGTCTTATTTCTTGTGTTTTTCCAGATAGTCCTGATTAGTCGGTTTTTGGGGGGTTTTTTACTATCAGTGTTCACATCTGACTAATAAGGTGATGAAGGGAATTACTCAAATGCCTCAAATGCTTACATATGCTTAGAGTGAATTTCTTCATTGTGTTTGCAGGTACTGGGAAGACTTTGCTAGCTAAGGCTGTTGCCACTGAATGCAACACAACTTTCTTCAACATTTCAGCCTCCACCATCGTCAGCAAGTGGAGGGGCGATTCAGAAAAACTTGTCCGGGTAAGAATTATGCTCTAACAGGCTGCCGGAGAGTGGCAGTTTTATAATGGGGTGAGCAAAACCGAGAGACAGGAACTGATGAGTATTTCTCATATGTTGATACTCTGCGGTCTTGGGAAAATCATTTCACTCTTCACTCATTTCCCCTTCTGTAAAATAAGAATACATATTATTTCTATTAAGATACCATGTTGGCCAAGTTCCTGCTGTATAGTTTCAGCTCAGTAATACATGACCTCCCAAAGCTGTCAAAGATTTTTGATTTATTGAGTCATCAGCAGGCAAATAAATCCTGAGAACAACTGAAAGTTCCTGCTAGATTAGAAGAAATGCAAGAATCTAGAACTCTTGGTTCCAAAATGATACCTTTTATTAGACCAATTGAGAAATTGCAAAAAAATATTTTTTATGCAACTTTTTTTGCAGTTTCTCAGTTGATCTAATAAAAAGTATCATTTTGAAACCAAGAGTTCTAGATTTTTGCATTTCTTTTTGTTTCATATCAACATGGCTACCACATACACCCCTCCTAGATTAGAACATGTCCTCATCGCTGTGATCACTGGAGGTGCTCCATGTTGGAATGGCAGATGTTACAGTTGGTCCCAGATTTTACTAGATCTGTATAGTGTAGGTAGTATGTAATTGCCAATAAAAGTGTGGTCTGCCCTGCGGCTCTTATAAGCTAACTTTAAAGATAATGTAGTCATGAGTGAATAAAAGAATGAAGAGGAGGATTAATTGAGCAATCTGGGATTCCAAAATTAGGAACCGGCAAGTCTTGCTTTAGCTGGGATTGCTTTTTAAAAGGAGCTGTGATTGTGTGCTGATTCTGTTATGCTCATTTATTTTTGCCACAAAGAAGCACTTTTACCTACTGCTTAGAGCCAAGCACTGGTGCTAGGAAATGTAAGTTTTATTCTGAACTTGCCACAAGCTCAGTGTGATTTTTTTTTTCAGCAAGTAATCTAACCTCTGTGCTTCATCTATAGAACGGAGAAAATAAGGCCTGTCCTTATAAAGTTATTTATGAAGCCTTTTCACTCCCTTAGATGAAAGGTGCCATAGTTAGTGCAGTATGATCAGGGATCCTGGTTTTCTCTGATTAAAAAAAAAAAAAATCACAAATTCTCTGATTAAATACCCCCAAATCCATGTTTTACTGCAGTTAAAATGAAACACCACCATATATGTGTGTGTGTGTGTGTGTGTGTGTGTATAGATATCTGTTGAACACAATATTTTATTGATATAGTTACAATTTTAGAGGAATTTGGAAGTCTACCAGTGCCTCAATCGCTAGAATAAAATAAATTCTAAATACCTATATATTTTAGTGTTTGATTTTTGAGTTTTTTATCATGGAAAATCAGAGCTCCTCCTGTCCCCTTTGCTCACCAGGACACAGGTCCAGCTGCAGCTGTCCCCCCTGCTGCTTTATGGCATTGAGCAGCCCTGATATGCTGGTGCCCTGCCCATGCCATTGCCCCTCGCTCCCCACCCACAGCCCCCGGCCATGCTGATGCCCAGCTGCTAGGGCTGCAGGGTCAGGGACCTGGGTGTGCAGCCCCCTGTGCCCCACCAGCAGCACCCAAGCCTCAGCTGTCACCCGTGGGAGGTGGCGGCTGCTGCAGCCTAAGCGGCGCACGTAGCCCAGCTCCCCTTCCCCTGTGGGCAGCACAGCTGGAGCAGAGCCTGTTGGGGGGAGTGGATGTGGGCTGCCTACTGCGGTCTTGGGGCTCTTCACCCTGCTGTCCTCTCCCCAGGACCTCTGCGGTTCAACGGGCAGGACCCAACACAGCAGGGCAGAATGGGGTGGGAAGGTTCGGTGCTGCCACTGGGAGCCCTGTGCCACAATAGCAAGGTGTCCCCTGCCCACCTGGCAGCAGTGAGTGGCACAGTGCCACGCAGCCACCCCTGCTGCTGCTGGGTGGGCAGGGGACACTTCACCATGGTGGTGCAGGGCTCCTGGCAGCAGCACCAAGCCTCCCTGCTCTGCTTTGCCCTGCCATGCTGGGCCTTGGTGGCACAGGGCAAGGAGGCAGCAGGGCAAGGAGCCATGAGCTTGCAGCGGCCAGCCTACATCTGCCCTGTGCACAAATCTTGGGGGCACATGCCCCCCTCCCTGGAGTGCATGCAGCGACACAGAGCTAGCCCCCCCCCCACCCCACAGATGAGCTGCCCGTGGCTCTGTCCTGCTCTTCACCTGGGCCCTGCAGCCATGCATTTTTGCCCTGGGCCTGAACCTCTAACTCCAGGCCCCCCACACTGCCCCAGCTGCGCAGTTCCCCCAGCCCTGCCCAAATCCCTCCCTTACTATGGGGGCCTCAACCCACCCCACAAGGCCTACCTGCAGGGAGATGTGGGAGCTGCTCTCCACACTGCCTGGCTGTCATGTACGCACACATGCAAATGGTGCCCCCTGCCTGATTGCCCAGGCTACAAGAGGAAACCTGCCATTTCCTGTGTTTTTCTCCTTTAAAGGAGAAAATATGTGTTTTCTCCTTAAAAAGAGAAAATCCACACTTTTCTCCTTTAAAATGCCCATGTTTTTCTGTGGCAAATGGAAAGTCCGGATCCCAGACTACAGTGTTGTTTTTAAATAGTTGAAGGATGTTTCCATAAAAATATTCATAGAATATTTTTATATTTAGCTACCCTTATAAAGGAAAAATAGGTAACACGTCATCACTGCAACGGCAAATGTCAATTATTTTAACTTCCATTTTTAATCTAACTTTGTCCTGTGAAGGACAGGCCATGTTTGCTTTCCTCAAAGAAGTACTTTATTTTATTAAGACAACATGGCTATTTGTGCCACTGGAGTTTCAGTGACTGTGTGTCGTCCCTCCTCACCCCCCATTTAAAAAATAAATGCAACAACAGTAAAAGAAGAAAGTACTTAATCTCTGGTGATGATTTGGAATTTCCCCAGGGTCCCTTTTTGCAATTCTTATCTTTTTATCCCATTATTCTCAGCATACTTGCATAGACTTTAGGAGGAAAGATTAAAACAAAAAGACTGGATTACATAAATGTATTCTTTATCTCTCCTTTATAAACCTGAAGAATTAAGGAATGATTTTGGAACTTCTCTGGCAATCATTTTCCCAACATTTATTCTGTTTCTTTCCTAAAGGTTTTTGTGATGCGTGCACTATTATTTAGTCTTTACATGATGACCCTAAACACCTTTGCTCAGTCTTCCTTCAGTTGTTAATATTTTTTTTCCCCTATGAACAGGTTTTATTTGAACTTGCCCGGTACCATGCTCCTTCCACGATTTTCTTGGATGAGCTGGAGTCAGTAATGAGTCAGAGAGGAACCGCTCCTGGGTAACTGATGAGTTAGCTTGCTATCTCTTCAAAAGAATACATTTCCCTCTCTAATTCTTTTCAATAAATGCGTTTGATCGTATGCCAATTAACATTTACTAGAACACTGAGCTTATTACCAAGCAAACAAATCTTAGTACAAACAGGGCCTGAGGCTGTTCTGGTAACGTCAATAGGAGCTTGATTGGACCCGCAGAAAGACCTTTAATTTAGATCGCATTGTTAGAATAGCTAAGTTGAGCGGTAATAGTGTAGTAATTTCCTTTTAGTTTTCAGATGTAGCTTTTCTTCAGGTCTATTCTCAATCTTAGGATCCTCACTACATCTTATTGTTGGACAGACTGTCAGCTCATAGATGTGGTGATAAGGGATAAATAAAGGAGAGAGTACTGTTTCCTGGAAGCAGTGTAGGCAGAGGAGAGATTTACAAGGAGGAAGGAAGTGTTTGGTTCCCACTGTAACGGGTGGTCTGGAAGGAAGTGTGAAGGCAAAAGTGTGTGAAAGAGAGAAACGGACTGACTGACTAGATGCTGTGGTGACTAAGACATAGGCAGGGCTTGTAGCAGTGAGGTTGGAGGACTGTTGATGTGATGCTACTATCCATGACATGACACAGCATTAAAACAGTCTAAAAAAATCAGAAAATGTGGGGAGGGAACAAAATGTATAGACACTTTTATTATATACGTAAGGCGCCTATTTGAGAGGTTTCTAGATGCCACAAGTACCATGTCCAAATGTTTCCATATGCTTGTAAAAAGAACACTGGATTAAAAAGATACAACTCACAATCATTGGCAATTTGTGCCCTGGTAGTATCCTTTCACAGCCCTCACTGGCACCAGTAAGTGAGGTATCTAACTGTGTGCATTTCTAAGAGTTTATTTGATTATCTTCATTACATAGTGATGCAGCACCACATGAGAGGATGCTTTCGAAAAAAACAAGGTATTATACCTGAATGGCAACATCTATAATCTAAGGTCTAACTGTGCTTTATTGGAGTTTTTCTGACAGGTGCTGAGCTCTTCAGCTCCCAGGCTTCAGTGCTTAACTACATGGTAAATAGCTTTGGTGCATTGGGTTGGGGCAGCAAAGCTTCAGTTTCCTGGCACCTTGCAAGCACAAGCTCGTAGATTCCTGGAACCTGGAAGGATGTGGGTAGTGGGGTCCTGCAGGGTTCAGTCCTTGGACCCGTACTCTTCAGTATCTTCATCAGTGGCTTGGATGTGGGTGTGAAGTGTACTCTGTCCAAGTTTGCGGATGATACTAAATTGTGGGGTGAACTGCACACTCCGGAGGGTAGGGAATGATTGCAGGCAGACCTGGACAGGTTAGAAAAGTGGGCAGTAGGGCTGTGCAAAATTTTGCTGGCTGTTTTGATTCAACACTGTTTTGACTAATTTCAAGCTCGAAACAGTGAAATTGAATCGCAATGAACGGCTTTGAAACAGACTCGAAACAAAACGAGGCTAGTCGAAACTTTTTGAAAGTTTTGAAATGTTTCACGTTTCGAAGCCAGCAACAAGAGACGCGGGAGAACCAGGGCACCAGCAGGGAGTGCAGCCCTGGCTCTCCCTGTCTCCTGCTGCCAGAAGCTGATAACAGCGCAGGGGAAGGGAACTGAGCCCGGCTCAGTACCCCTCCCCAGCACTGCAGTCTGGCAGGGGCAGGGCGGAGAGTCAGCCCATCTGGACTCACTCCCACCCCCCGCACTGCGATTTTGGGGGGGCTGACTCCCCAAACCCAGCGAAAGTCAAAACAGCATTGAAACAACCTTTAAGTTTCGACAGAACGGAACAGAACAGCTGTTTCAAGTCAAAATGAAATTCGAAACAGAACGCTGTTCCATTGAACCGTCAAAACTGAAGGTGAAACAGAATGGTGCCGTTTTGCACAGCCCTAGTGGGCAGTATACAATAGGATGCAGTTCAACAAGGACAAGTGCAGAGTGCTGCACGTAGGGCATAGAAATATCCAGCACCCCTAGTGGCTGGGAAGCGACCCTCTCAGCAGCACAGAAGCGGAAAGGATCTGAGTCATAGTGGACTCCAAGATGAACACGAGTTGTCAGTGTGACAAAATCATCGGCAAAGCTAACCGCACTTTGTCATGCATCAGCAGATGATAACAAATAGATCCAAGAAGGTGATACTTCCCCTCTATGCGGTACTGGTCAGACTGCAG